GTATTTTTAAGCAGTCGATGCGAGAAATCATCAAAATTTTCGGTCAAAAACGCATCATTAGATAAAAAAACTATAGTGTTTCTGAAAGAGCTGAAGAAGGGCTATCTTCCTATGCATTTATCTCAATTTTCATTTTTTTGACGAAAAGTGACTTTTTTGGAGGGGGGGTGGCCTTAATTAATTGTTTTTTGTTCAATTTGATCAATATCATCTAAAATGAGTTTCAATTCAGTATTTTCAATAAGTGTAAGAACATCATTAACATGTTGTTGAATATTTTGAAGATGAAACAGTGTTTGCATAACATTAAGAAGACATTGAATTAAATTAATAAATTTCAAAACAGCATCATGATGACCATATCTATATACAAGATATTTCCATATTATTTCAGCATATTTGTTTTGAATCAGAAAGACTGTACGTGTATCAACGTAAACTTGTAATTTTGAAGAAAACAGACAAATATTTGTCGAGAAAAGAAGTAATGATAGTGCTATTTTAGTGAGAACAATATCAGAATCAATTAAGTTTGTTCCATGAATAGTATGAGAAAGACATTGTTCTCCATATTTTGTATAAAGAACATTTAAGAAAGATCGACAACTAACTAATTGAGATTGACACAAAATAAACATTCCACCTAAACATAATACAGAATCAGTGCTGTTAAGAAGTAGTATTGAACGATCATCTGATGATAAACTATTAAGATCCCCATTGGAACGAAGACACAATTCTGTTGTTTCGAAAAGTAACGAAAAGAATTCTTTAATTAATGTTTCATCGAGTAATATAATAGATTGACAATTTTCATCTTGTTTAGTTATACATTGAGAAGTAAACATAATTTTTCTTTCGTCAAAACTATGAATCACATTCGAGAGAAGAGTCCATTGACTATTCGTCATTAACGACGTATCTGATTGTAAAAGATTTAATGTTGGCAACTAAAAAAAACAAAAAGAAATATTTTAATTAGACAGATATTGTCAAATAACAATGAATTATTCTTCATATCAAAGTTAAATTTTTTTCAACTAATTTTTAGAAAGAAACAACATTAAGTATACATAGGATCCCGTTGGATTCGGTCATAACTCTGCAATCCTAACAATTTCACATTCTAATTACATAGTATTATAGATATTTAAGGGATGAACATTTTAAGTCATTCAATTGTCAAATAAGACTCTTCTCTACCCGAGAATCGAAAATTGTAAAAGAACTGAAACATTCACTCACTCATATTCAATTAATTCATTCTAGACTTCTCCATTGTTTATTGGGATTCATCAAATCAACATAGTTTTAAATCAAAAGCGATTCTATACTTGAAAAGCTTCCCTAGTATAAGTCTAATTTTCGGTGCTAATAACATTTAGCTCTTCTTACAATAGACGATAGACTTTTATAGCAACGGTAAACTTCTTTTACTATAAAATTGCATCCTTTCATTCAAAAAATAGATTTATATATGTGTTTTGTTTGAAATGACGATATCGAGAGGAATTCTTTTCCTGAAACTTCGACTTCGTTGCAAACCTTCACTATCGAGAACAAGGTTGTACAATGTTATACATATGCATTTTCTGTATACCCTTTGTGCACATCTATTTATTTAATTTTCGTCTCAAGTGTACTTCGGTAGTGATAAAAAAAAGTTAAAATAGAGAATAGATGATGAAAATTCTGAATCTAAAATCAAACTTTGTCTACGACTTTTAATACATGAGATTCGAGCTCCTAAATATCTATATACTATGTATCAGAGATTCTTGAAAAGAACGGGTTGAATCCCTGAGTTTCATTTAATAAATTAATTGTAGAAGCTCAGAATGATGATAATGACGTATCTTCAGAAAAGAAGGAACTGAAGTTGGATTTTTTTCATAGAACTGATTGAATCTAATATATTTAATCAAAGAAACAAGCTTATATAACGTCAATAGTTCTTTCCAAATGATTTTTTTCCGAGATGAACGTCTTAATAGAAGCTAATCATATGCCTATATCAATGATTTATTCAAGCAATAAAATATCATATTGTAAATAGAATTTTTCAACCAGAGAACAATTCACGAAAAGGCATTTTAGATGTTCTAGTCTTGGTGTCTATTTCAGTGTTCTCATATTCTTTCGAAAAGCACTAAAATCAGCTATTTTAATCATAAACTATTAATGGAGACGCTTAAAAAGATGACGTTTATATCTAAAAATGTTCAAGAAGTTTTTTCTACAATAATTTTGACATACGCCATACATTTAAAAAGTCATATTGGTCTTCAAAATATGTCTTAATATTGGAGAAAAAAAAAAATTTGCACTTTGTTCAGATGCACAAAAAAAAGTTTCTAATTATTATTAAATGATTTGAATAAATATTTTAATTAGAATTGGCACTTTGTCTTTATTTTACTGTATAATCTATTGTTTACTAACTTTACTTTAAAAGCAAGGCCAAATAAAATATAGTTGATCAATATAAACAAAGCTCAACAATGAAATCGATTAGTAACCAAATGCAAAAATATTCATCTCGTTTATATTTAGTGCTCATACTTTTGTTTTTAATATCATTTCAAAAGACTATTATTCATGTATATATAAAAACTCTTTCATCTTCTGTTTAGATTGATTTTTTTAAATTATTTCCTAGACATGCTTATAGATTGATAACAAGTGTTCAGTATCTTCGATATTGAAAGAGTTCGTACTGAACAATGATGAATTTGAATGAATATAAAATATATAAGTTCTAATGAAATCGATCAAAAATATGAAATCATAGATAATTGACGAAATTAAATCGATGTCACATGTTCTCAAATATTTATGTTTATATTTAATAAACGATACCAAATGAGTTTTATATAAAAAAAAAAGAAGTCATTAGGACACTGAAATTTTGTCGTAGTCTAACGAGGGAACCACCCGAGGTGATAAAAAGCTTTTCGGTCAGGAATATGATGGTTAGGTAGGGCATAGCTAGGAGTGATAAACCCCAAATTAGTTCGGGCGCAAGTTGCTTCTAGCGGGAGTTATGAAATGTGAAATTTAGGTATAAAAATGAAGAATCTAGGCCACTTGCCCGCAGAACATATGCTCGCCGGACAGATCCCCGCAAGACACTTGCCCGTATGATGCTTGCCCGCACCCTCACCCTCAACATTGTCCATTGCGAGCATGTATCGC